AATCTCAATATTTCATATTCCTTCCTTTGACCTGAGACGCATGGGTGATTCGTGGTGAAACCCAAGCATGTCACATTGATGAATATTTCAAGGACGTGTTATGAACCCACCGTGTGCAGGACCGGGTGCCTGGATTGGGCAGAGCCAGGCGCAGAAACAGAACTCAAAAAAAGTGTCAGTGTTCCCGTAGATCTTGTTGTGCTGAATCGGGGTTGAACACATATTTTAAATTAGTTTAACGCGGTTTAACCTTTGTCTTACTCATATCTCTTTATATTCATAGCATTTATACCTGCCATGAACTCAGCATGAAAGTGCAACGTGACTGGGATGCTGCCCTCAGAGGCTTGAGCAGGATTCGGCATCACGCTTGTCACCGGTCCTCACCGGTCGTCACGACTCAATTTCTGATTTTTCTGATTGACGTCGCATCGGTGCAGGAGATGCCAGAGTGCGCTTTAGGTGCTGTGCCAAAGAGCCTTCGGTCAGCACTGCCCTGTTTGGAGAGTCTGGGAGTGGATGTGTTGGCCATTCCACTTCACATTTGCAGCAGTGTCGTGGTGATGGAAACGGCATTTTGTAGGTAAATCCATCGCTCATGGAAACCGTTCGTGTCCCGTGCCAGGCACACTATCGCCTACTCCAATTTGAACGGTCAAGAGCAGATTCAAGAGACCAGGGTGCCATACCCAGCAGTTTTGCAGGTTTCTTATGGTTTCTTTGGCCATTTGATGAATTTTCATACGAAGTACCAGACATTGCTTGATATGTCTAATCTATCCACTGGGATGTGGCCCACGCTTCACTGCTTAGGTCACATGCTCTGGCGATGATTGTGAGACGATGTCGAACAATGTTGCTCCCTGAGTGGGTAGAGTCCGGGTAGAGTGGGATCTTGAGGCAGTGGATGGCAGTGGAGCAGAATGATCTGTAGAACCAGCCCTGGAAGCCTGGGTTTTTTCCATTTTTTCCTACACGCCGTTGCTGAGTATCGTTTGATTGTCTGAGTATCTCAGTTTGACAATGACACGATTGACACGATGTCCCATCTGAGTTTACCCCATGTTTTCCTCTTCCCCAGGTGATGCCACAGATTATTCGTGTGAGACCTTCTGGAAATAAAGTGATGTCCTCAGTTTGCGTGCGGTTCCACAGACGTTCCACAGATGTGTCAAGAAAGCGTTGTTTTTTCAACAGGAGGTCTGTAAGACTGTAAGGCTGCATGAAACAGCGGAGAATAGCAGTAGGGCCGGTTTTTGTGCTGACATGCAGAGAACAGACCACAACATAGCATAGCTAAAGCAAAAGGAAACAAAACATACAATACATTTACAAACCACTAGCATCATCAGAAATATCACGAAATTGTGTTGATAAAGTAGAAAAAGGAAGTTGTAGAGAGAGAGAGAGAGAGGGAGAATACCTTTTGCAGCAACCGAGGAAGCGAAGCACCGTATGTGTTCAGGCAGACGAGTTGACAAAACTTGCAGACTTCGGAAAGGTCCGGGTTTCTGCATTGTAGGCTCGCCAACCCTCATGTGGGACAGCATGGATCATATGGCGCCGCTCGACTTTGGTGGAAAGGAATGGCCCAAGACCCTTACAGAGAACACTCTAGCTTTGAGTTTGCTGGAGTACATTTGGAAGACACAAGACTTACTCTTCCTGAGCAGTACTTGCACATCCCATATCATAAAATTCGTGATTCCAGTGTCGGTTTTTCAATCCTGCCTTTGACGTCCATTGTTTTTCAATGATTTGGAAGATGTTTTCCATTGTTTTCCTAGGCATCGAGTTGCAAACTCGGTGCAACACTGAGAATGTTGCAGATTCGCCACAGCTGAAGCCATTGCGACTTTCGACGTGCTGTGGGATCCCCAGGGCGTATCCCCAGGCCAGATGGCTACTGGGCTACGCACCAGAGCCAGGAAACCAAGGAAACCAACAAGAGTCCTCGACTGAGTTTGACATGTTTGACATGTTTGACTGCTTGGATTTTGCCAGTTTCCGAATGTTTCCGAGTCACATGGGCAGCTTGTCTTTGTTCATCTTTGTTCAGTGGAGCGATCTCCAGGGAAGCAAGCGGACAGCTTAGCGGACAGCCTTTAAGAAGTGAAGGCCTAGCATGAGCGCATGAGCAACTGAGTATGCCTGAGTATGCCCAGTGTGTCGGAAATGCTCCAGGCGTCATGAAAGTTTACAGCTACTTCAACAACAATGGCCACGAAGAGTTGAAACCTTAGTATCGAGTATATAGTCATTCCTGGGAGCTTGTCGTATTTTGTCTTCCATACAGCCTCCGTCAAATGCAGTTGATGCAGATGCAGTGTCTGTGCATCGAGGATGAAACAGGTGGAGTCTCACTGCAAGGCTAGTTGCATCAACTTGCTGTGACTTCCTGTCCTCGTTGCTGTCCACGCCAGGATGGCGCCTGTGTGCAGAGGAATTGGGACATTGGGACATGACAATCCTCGCATGTGGGTGCCATATTTTTTGTTGGAAAGTATTGGAGGGCAGCAAGCTCTCAGATGATCATTGACTATCTTTGACTATGCAGATCCTAGGTGTGATATCCCATTCGTATCCTGGTGATCGCCCGTGATAACGGGTGCTGTGAAGCGAAACCCGAAAGCCCCAGAACGAAACTGCCAGGAGCCGCACCTTCGCTCCAAATCCCTCTGTGCCGAAGGAACCAAAGGAGTGAAGTGTGTGAGCATCAGAAGATCGCATGTTTTTTGCTAACGAACATGTTCTAAAATTGATTAAACTTGCTGGTGGTTTGAGCTTTTTTGACCTGGAACAATCGGATGAAAACAGCAACAGTAGCAAATTCCCAACACCAGTGCCTTTTGATGCCTTTTGGTTTTCATTTTAGGGCCTGGGAGTGGCTGGGTGTAAAGCTAAATCAATGTACAGTTTTGTACCATATAGTTCCATACCTAGGCAGTTCAAGAGTTCAAGATACGGATCAGGGAGACGAAGCACCGCAAGCGATGCCTCCAGGATGCGCACGATGTTCGACATGCGATGTCAGCTTATGAGGCTTAGTACGTCTTGGTACTTCCAGTTCCAGGACTGCAAAGCCTGGGAAATTGGGAAGAGTGACGGTGATGAGACATGAGCCTTCACATAGTTACTGCACTGATTTCTGCATTTGAAGTGTGACAAATTTGGATAATCTTGGACCACACAGCCAATTCACGAAACAGAATAACTATATAAAAGCCATCTAAAAACTGTAGAAACTTGCGAATCTTTCATGATTTCCCCAAGCCTTCAAAGAAAAAGGCGGGTGACTTTTTTGAGTTGCGCCAGCTCCGCCGCCGCTAGGCGCCGCAGCTTCGCCGGCTTAGCCATCGAAACAGAGCGTTGAAAAATGCGACTTTGAGTCCCGTTGAAAGATCACCAGCGGTGTCGGTTTGTTGAGGTCTCAACCCACCGGAGTCTTACTGGAACATGCTCAAACGTTTAAACATGTTCACACCTTCCTGTTGATCTGTTTGAGACTAAGGCTTTAAGGGCCGGCTAACGGTGCTTTCTTCCTTTGCTCCTTGTTTTGCTACATACTTAGACCCCGTGACTACACAGCAATGCACATGTTCTTTCAAACAAGCAGCTGACCAATGATGATTTGCCTTGCATGGCTTTGCTTGCAATACACCCTACAAAGATTTTAAAAGAGATCCTGAAGAACACAACGCAATTCAGGAATGTCTAGCATTGAAAATTTGAGGCGTCAATTTGTTTGCTAGGAGACGGCCTTTTTCAACGTTGAGGCATTTCACTCAAGCAGATCAGCTCTGCAAACTATGTAATTGTTCATTCTCAAATCAGCATCTAGGAAAGGGAATGAACAAAATCCTTCCAAAATTCACAGGACATGATGTTCCAGGGGCGTTGCATGAGTGTTCAAAACACTGCTTCCCAACTGCAAAAGTATTCGCAGAGTCTTTGGTTACTTGTTTCCTATGCCTAATTTCTCTGGTGGGCCTATCAGACCGATTCAGACCGCTCAAGACAGCAAGCATTGGAACAGCGACACATGATTTTCACGGCTGTCTCGGGTGACCTGTGGCATGGACGAAAGCAAAGCCGCTCGCTAGCCATGGGCGCCGAATTGTCGTCTCCAACACCTAATTTGGAGTCAGGCAAAGCGGGTAAGCGGGTAAGCGGATGCTACATGGTGAAGGACGTAGCATCACATAGCGTGACGTAGCATGACGTAACTACAGTAGAAGTACGTAGTACAAAAGGAGGTGGTGGGGAAAATGCAAACTGCTGATGGAAGACTCCTTCTATTTGATGAAAGTGAAGGTATGTAAAGGTATGTGAAGATATGTGAAGATATGTGAAGGTTTAAGGATGGTTTAGGATAGGTGTGAATAGCCATGTCTTGAGGGTCTGCCGTCGCAGCGCTGGCAGTCTTAGAGGGCGTCGGCCCAGACATGCGCGGCAAACTCCCTCCGCAGCTCAGCTGAGAAAGTCGAAAGGCAGCTGCTCCACTCTGTCTGCTGTCAATGTGTGATGCTCCACTCCCGAGGCATTTGGCATTGATGACTACAAGGAATTTGAGGCCGACTTTTTGCACTGCAGATGTTGCAATCACACATGTGATGCTGTCGGTTGCCATTGCTACTTTCTTTTAGGCAGGTCGGTTCGGCCTTTTTCAAAGACGCTACACATCGCTACACCATACAGAAATATACCGAATTTCAATTTCTGCTCTGTAGATGATCTCAAATGACCTCAGCTCTGACCCTTCACTGCTCTGAAACACTGTGCTTCTGGCGTCCAGGTTCCAACACGTTGCAATTTGGAGAGATCCCTTCTTGGGCGGCTCTGGGCTTATCGGGCTTACCGGGCTTACCGGGCCGTCGTCAGATGTGGACCTGGGAAGATCTGCATTTTGCCTTCCGAGGGACGATTGATCACCACACTGTGGTCTATGAATACTTGGAGGGCAGGCGCTTGATGAGCCTGAAGCCATCAACTCAGTCAAACGATTCAACATGATGTTAACATGAACATAATTCAACGATTCTGTGTCCAGATTTTCAGTGATTCCAGCAAATCAGACGTCAATGCGTTGTTTTTTTGCCAAGTAGCGCACTGAATTGTGTTGAGTTGGAACCCTGCTGTTTGGTGATTTGGAAACCCATTTCATCCCATTTCCATTTGCGATTTTCAATCCACCGCTGTTTTTTCTGCATTTACTCTGCACCCAGTTGGCTCATGAGGTTAGACTGGGGTCGTGACGGATTGCATTTCCATGACAGCCCAGAGGACACGTGTCAAATTGCAGGCTCTTGCAACGTCTTGCAACGTCCAAGTTGTATAAGTTGCTTCGATCTATTCGTTGCTGTGTCCCTTTGCATGCATCAGCCTGCGGAGGACCCTTGTCCAAATGGAGATGTCTTAGAACGGAAACGGCTACTCCGTCTCACTCCAGCAGAAGCGAGATACTGAGAAGATACCGAGAGGATACCGAGATATCCAGCTTATCCCAGTTTTTGTCCCAGTTTTACAAAGCAGTCAAGGCTCAATCGGGCAGCCATTTGGCGTGGTGTGATAAGGCGAGGCGATTCAGCTGAGGTCCAGATTCATTGGGATGCTGTGAAGGAGAGAGATTACGAACTCTCACGTTGGAACTGCCAGCATTTCAGCAAGTGCCCGAGGGTGTTTTACGCACCGCCATTCCTCAGAATCAACATGAATCAACTATGAATCAACTATGAATCAACTATGATAACTTTGAGACCGGTGAGACCGATATATCATTGAAACGGCCGTGTTTTTCAAGAGAACCAAGTGGGATCTGACGATATCTGACGATTGAAGTCACAAAATGCATGAAATTTTGACTCTGCCAGGTACATGTACGAGAAAGCGAGTGAGGGTCTGACATGACCTGAAGCGCAGCCACAGAGCTTGATTAGGTAGTGTACCAGTGTACCTAACATGGCATGGAAGACTCATAAAGCCCCAGACTTGGTTCATCCTTAACTCCATAAGATCCACACACCATAGTCAATTATACGCCGATACGCTGTAGCAACGCGGCATGCCATGGTATCGCAGTATGTCTCAGTAGTGTCTGAGTAGTGAGATGGCGGAGCCGACTTGCGGTGTACAAACTCGGCAGCTGAGCAGCTGAAGCATGACATTCCCCGTTCATCATTGGTTTACCGATGTCCAGATGCTGTTTCCCAGAAAGGCCGCAATAAGCATCCAGGTGATGCTGCGGACCTGTTTTGAAGTTTGTAATTTTCTCAACTTTTGAACAAACTTCCAGAGGATGCTCGGATAGTGAGTTTGCTTCAATTCAGCTGCTGCCCTGACACTTTGCCAGCAGAAAGCGCAAAGCAAATGTTGGCTTGTCATTGTCTCCAGCCCAATAGTTAGATGACTTGACAAAGAGACTGGCTGTGCTGCAAAACGAGAATGTCTCTAGAGACCAGCAAGTTGAAGAATGCAAGTCCCTAGCTGAACCATGTTCCCACATGTTCCCACCATGCTTCGACCAGGCTTTGCAGGAAGTGAAGCGGAAATCTGGGATTTTCGGCTCCGAAGGAACACATTCGCAGCAAGATGGACTCGGACGAATCAGACGAGTCAGCTCCACGCGCTTCGAAGCTCAATGGAATTCGCTGTGCTGGGAAGCGCTTGGGCGTTGCCTGGAGAATCTCGGCTGGGAACATTCAACTGTACTCTTTCATGTACATGCATTGAATCAGATTAAATCCATTTAAATCTATTGAACGACCAAATGCCGAAGTGTTTTACAAAAAGTCTTCCAAGACCAAAATTATCCAAAATTTAAAATCTCTTTTGCAAGACTTTCAAGACTTTCACAGCGCGTGTAACACACCTGTCATCTGACGAAATCCCAAGCTTCAGGCGCTGAAGATCCTCCAAGGCACAAGCGCCTCGGACCTGACATGTCCTGGCACCTGGCACCTGGCACGAACCGCTAAGACGACGTAAGACGACATAAGACAACACTCACAAAAGACATCCGAAGACTCACTTTTGTCCTTTTGCATTCTTTTTTAGTGTCAGACATTTGAACTTTGCCTCGAATTTTGAGCTCACTTGAGGCATGCAATGGTGCAGAGCTCAAGGTAGATTCAACATGATTCAACATGATTCAACAGTGCATCCCAATGACTTCGTGTTTTCCCAGCTCTGACGGCTTTGCCTTCGAGGTTTCAGCAATCGATGTACCACACTTTGCTTCTTCCAGCTTTGAGCTTAAGTTTGCTGCTTGCATGGCTGGCAAGGCTGGCACTCCCAGCGGTTCAGCGGTTAATCATTCGGTTAGTCAATACGAAACATGGCAAAGGCATGCAACTTCTAGCACTGATGCCACCTTCTCCTCCGCACTGCCACAACATAGGGTTCTTATTGAAGCCAAGATTGATGTGTTGTTTTTGTATCTGCGGTTTGCCGTTTGTTTTCTATGTGTCATCTTAAAGTTTCGACCTTGGCCTCGGAGGCCTGCAGCTGCAGAGAAGTTGCCACCGGGATTTCTGAAGCACCTTGCAAGTTATATGATCGCCACTTTGCCGCGCAAGTACGGGTACTGCATGGTACTGCAATCTGAAAAAGATCTTTAAGGCAAGAATGAGAACATGCAATCCATCAGTTGCAATGCCCTACTGCTGCAAAGGTGCGAGATTCTTGTTTCTGGCTTGGTTACACATTAGCTTCAGATAGCTTCAGAAGGTCAGAAGGTCTGTCTTCATTTTGCAAGGTCTGGATGTGTTGCATTGCAGCAGACTGGCTTCAGGGCCCCTACGTTTATGCCAATGGCTGCAACTGGTGGGCCTTTCTTTTGGCGTCATGTCAATTATGTCATAGTCATAGGCTCCGGCAGGAGCAATCAGCATGAGAACATATTATGAGAACTGCATCATTGAATCATTTTGAATCGGCTTATGTATGCTTATGTACATTTTGAACGGGTTTTGCACATTTTGCACATGCACTGCTGCGCTGAGGCTCTTTATTCGGCTTATGGCTTCTCTGAGTCTGCCATCATGGCTGCTCGACAGATAGGCCTTGCACTACCATGCACTACCAACATGCACAGAACAGAAACACCTGTACTATTTGTTCATAGTAATGCTCTTTATCTTTCTTGGTCCTTCAGCTTTTTACAAAAGTCCTGCAAAGACAGAACTTGTCAGACACTTTAGGCCACACGACACCCGATTCGGCCCGATGCCCCTAAGGCGCTCTTTGTAGCTGGTTATGGTGCGTCAGGAGTGTCTCTGTTGCACCGTTCATGCTGCGCACCGATTCAGCCGTGAACGAAGATGTGTGGAACTGCCAAGGTGTGTAGTTGTGGCATTGGATCAGTTGCAGATTGTTTTGGCCTGTCCTGGCGCGCTTGAATCAGAGTCTTGCAGCTCAGGGCCAACTTGTAATGTAATGTTTCCATATGTTTCCCAGATTGACGCAATCCAAGGCATACAAGACAATACAAGACATCATGAGAACATTGGGAACCCAGTGGACTCTTGAACCAACCCCTGCCAGGTCGCAAAAAGTGTTGCATGGCATTCTGCATCTTTCATATGATTGCTGGCATTACGAGACTCGGCGTTGCAACTTCACACGACAACGTGACACAGGGATCTGTGGAAATGCAAAGGTGCAGCAGTGGCATGAAATGTTACATGACGCTCCCAAGGATGCATTGGAATCTCTATCCGCTCTTGATGTTGGGCCGCATATCTTCAGGAGACGCAAAGTCCAAGTGGTCATAACGCAAAACTTCCAAGCGTTTGTTTTTAGAAATGCTTACAGTCTCACTCATGGTTGATTCAGCTGTTGAGCTAAGTGACTCTTGCCTCCTTAAATGCTGGTCTTGAGATGTACCCCTTCACTTTGTCAGGAATTGGCACAGCCATCCTTTTTTCTTGCTTTGATGCTTGGCAAGCACGTGAGGCATTGCGTTAATCTAAACCCTCTTGGAAATATGATGTAACAAGATGAAACAAGTAAAGTTTGCTTTGTTCTCTTATTTTTTTCTGCGGGAACATGGAAAACAAGTTTCCCTTTTGATGCACACTTTGGGCTAAGCAGGTGAACTAGTCCGGTGAAAAGCACGCAGTCCATCATTGCATCATTGTTTGGTTTTCATTGGATTCCCACCAGTCTAGGAATGCTGGATGGTGTCGGAGCACAACTTTCGGCATCGCTTTTCCTCAAGTTTGCTCTCATACATGTTCGGCAACCTGACAGCACGTGCCGTGTTTGCTGAAGCCTTTTTGCATGGCATGCAGACCACGACAGCAGGATTCTGCTGTGCGCTTTGGAGAAGTGTCACGATTTGAGAAATGCTTTGAGCTCCGGAGGTCTAAATTTCTGTGCCATGTATTTTGTAGCAGCGCCGGCCTTAGCTTCAGCAAGCTGTTTGAGAAGTTCTTTAACGTTCTTTGCTCTGCTCTCATGCTTTGTCGTCTTTGCTTCAGTTTGTTCGCAAGTCTAATTTTCTAGGCCCATCACGATCATGAAGCGGAGTGTGAACACTCTAGCAGCTTCGCAGATCATCCAGTAAGATATGTCAACGATGTGCATCTATACAACTACATATACAATCTGCAGTGTACAACAGTGTACAACATACAATATATTCATCTAGTTTCATATTATATATATAATATATATTATATGTGTATATATATATAGATATTCAATATCATGATTATCATGATTATCATGTTCCACTGATATTTCAATTAACGGATTTTGATTCAAATCTCTTCCACCAGACTCTCCTTCCCAAGGTTCTGTCTGGCCTTGGAGCACAATTTGCGGTTGACAATACACAGCTCAGTGCTGTACGAGGCAAGGCGGGCAAGGAAAGTAAAGTGTTTAAAGTGTTAGGAGAGATCAAAAAGAAAGGGAAATCTTGTGATATCTTTCAGTTGTTTCAGGAATGTTTCTGAATTTTAGTAAAACATTCTGATGACTTTCTAGGGGATTTCTTACAGCAAGAGTGTCCCTCAGACAGTGAGAGAGAAAGCACAAAAAGACATGGCTGCAAAGGTTTGTCGATTCAATTAGAACAACAGGAAGCTGTGGATGTGTCAAATGAAGTGAAACTTCAATGTGCAAAACCATGCAAATTCCTGGCCACAAGTTTTGTTGAGCCTTTCGACATGCCAAGGTTCGATGTACGTGGGTGGCTTCACAGTGCCTTATGATATCTCCATTGCCTTACTATGCATTGGATTTGCACTCATTGCACTGCTTTGGAAAGAAAATTATGGTGATGGACAAAAGCCAGGTCGCTTGGAGCCAGGATTTGCCGGATCTTACCCGATCCCGGTGGGACATCCTTTGGGACGGTTAGGAACTGGAACAAGCATCGAATCAAAGCCATCAAAGGGTTCCAATTCCAACAGATTTCGGGACTGGAAGTCCCTTGCGTAGATCGTTGGATGTATTGTAACGATGCTTCCAGCCTTTTTTTTGTGGTGCCCATTGTTGAGTTTTAACGCCCAGTTGCACCATTTCCAAAGGTCAGCTTTTGATTTGCGATGCCCTGTGCTTGCTCATCAAGGACGCATTGATACAGACTTCACCATAGTTCCAGTGCCACTTGAATCTAGAAACCTGAAATAATGGGAAATCAATTTGATTTACTTCAAGCATCTTCAAACATCTTCAAGGCGATTCACATCAACCCATCCTCGAGAGGATCCAAGCTGCCGGCGGCTATGCATCATTGTGGCCATCTTTGAGGGTTCGATGTATGTCTTCGTATCCAACTGGACTCTAGCATTGCAATCTCAGGAGACAAAAAGGCATTGGTGATGTAAACTACATGGTAACTACATGTAATGTACATTACATGTATGCAATTGTATGCATATGTAGCAACGGAAAGGCTGTTCGAACGTGTTCAATAGCGACTTAAAAAGCGGCGTGGGATGATCTCCGGTGTGAGGCATATACCAAGGATGCAACGCATGTTCCAATCTGAAAGTCTTACCTTACTTGGCCTTCCGTAAACCTTCAATAAAGCAAGTAGGCTTGGTCTTTGGATGTCTTTGGAACTTGTTGCTTCTGATTTGATGGGTTAATGCGATCTAGCGGAGTTGCAAGGTGTTGGTTTTTCAGAGAAATTGTGTGGTCAGTCTTCGAACGGATGCAACGAGCCTCCACGAGTTTCCACTTGATGCAGGACATCCAACCACCACACGGCCTTATCTTCGCTCTCTTCATGATGGCGGCAATGTGTGGTTCATCTGTTCCTTGGAACCAGCTTGGAACTGACAGAACGAAGGCTTTATGCTTGTCAAAGACGAGAGAGGTATTGATGAGCATGTATGAATATGTTGTTGTCTTTTATGTGAAGAGTCCTGAAGCCAAGAGATGTGAACGAGCACGTGAACCAGCAACGATGTTGATCACCGATGATTTGTTTGTGTCACTTTGTGTCCCAGGTTGCGACGTTGGGCAGGGGCATGAGTCAAAGCCTTAGAGCTCCAAGCAGAGAATGGAAACGGCCATGTGCGGCACAGGCATACCGCATACGGTGTGCTGTTGTTGTGGTGTTGTGATGACTTCACGGATGACTTTTTGAAGGACTCGTTGACTCGTTGTGTCACCTGGGGCGCCAAGTTCCACGCCGACAGTTGCGTTTCATTCTGCTCCTGTCCGTGCTGTCGTTCGCCGTCGCCTCGCGAAGTGCCTGCGGAGTACCTTGGAAGTGACTGGCCATGGGTGGCGGTGAGTGTTGACAAAAAGTGAAGGGAAGCGACAAGAAGCCACAAGAAGCCGCAAGAAGCCACAAGAGGCCAAGAGACTCCAAGAGAGGACAAGGTGTTCAGGGCTTCCATGCGACATGGATCGACATGGCCTATCTTACCTGATCATCCTGACCTGGTTTGGCAATCTGCCAGCTCGAAACTGAGGCAGTCGGCTGTTGCCTCGGAGCCTTTCTGACCTTTGAATTCTGCGTTGGTTGGTACTTTCCGTGTGTCGGGATCTTGAAGAGTGAACCTTGCTTTGAAGCTGCGGACTGAACAGATGCCTTCTTCAAGGTGTGTTCTGTTTGCGTTCTGTCTGAGGAGTCCAGAAGTGAGACCATTGAACATGTTGTTGTGTCGGTCAGTAACTTCTATCGGCATCAAGAGACTGTACAGGTCCTGAAAGATAAGTCAGCGTTTCAGCCATCACATTGCTTTCCCTGCAGTGAGTGCAGCAACCCTAATTTCGACAAGTAGAACAAGGAAAGAGTACCGTCTCCTTTTCTGCTCACCATCCAAAATCTGAAACCCATCTTCCCAAGGGCTCAGAGTTTGAAAGATGATCAAAGTTAATTTACCTTCCCTGCCAGAGATACAATCTTTGGATGTGCTCCGTGATGATTTGAGGAATGCGTTCCAGAGCAGATTCGCGGCTCAATGTACAATCTTTTTCGGGTGCCGCTGAATGTCCCTTGGTTTGTTGCATTTGTTGCTGAATCTGATGGAACCTGATTTTCCAGGATATTTTGTTTGGATATGTTTCAGCTGAGGTGCTGGTACTTGTCTTGCTACTGACTCACATTGGCACTGAATTACGCTTTGCCATTTGCTCTTTCCTGCTCTCATTTGCAGTTTTGGAGCCTTGGACCGTAAGGATCCTGTCAAACAACAGTTTCCATTTTATCAAAATCCAGAACTCGAAGACCAATGACATCCAATAACACTACGAGTCAGATATGAGTCAGCTAAGTCAGCTATGATTGGAAAGTATCTGGACTTGTTAATGTGAAGTTTGGTGCAGCATGGCAACAGAATCGCACCAGAATGACACCAGAATGGCAGCAACTAAGGCAACCTTTGGTCTTGTGGGTCACAAGCAGCCCCTCCCAGAGACAGTTGAGGCAAGTGGGACTTGTTGCTGTTAAAGTTGGACACTTGGCACTTGACCAATCTTGAGCAGCTTGGCAGGTCGCATCCTCGCCCTGAGCGATTCCGAGTCGACCTTTGTCGATCAAGTCGAGTTATTTCATGTTATTTCATGTTATTTCTAGGGCTCACATGAGTCCATCTCTCATGGCCTAGCGCTGTCAAAATGACACAGCCATGTCTGGGGTAAGTCTGTCACTATGCCCAGAAATCCAGGAGAGACTCACAGGAAAAGCCGAAAAGCCGAGCTCCGAAATGATCCGGTCCAATCGAGTCAAGTCTTCTTATTTGTTTGGAGATGTTTGAAGCAAAAACAGATTTGCTCACAGTTGTGAACTCAGATGTCTTGTCTGCCTCGAGATTTGCATATACTCAGGCTGCATCAGACCTTGATGATATACTCAGGCTGCATGTCAGTCTGTTTGACTCATGGACAAACCGTTGACAAACCCTTGATAATTGAGGCAGAGATAGAAGCAATTTTGTGAACATAGAGCAAGGCAAGAAGTCTTTGAAGACACATTAGCGACACAACTGACTATTTCCTAGTCACTATGAAGTGCCTGTGCGCCATTTCGCCCCTGGGAGCTTGACGGAGGACATTCCGAGAATAAGAATCGCCCAAAGATCTATCTACAGATGTCCAAATAGTATAGTACTGTGGCCAATTGAGATGTTCTGAAGATTTTCTTAACATTGTACAAATTGTATCAAATGCATTAAATCCGTACATTAAAAAGACATGATAAGACATGTATATATTAACAATTCGAAATTTATCTGGCTTGTTTGCGTGCGACGTGCAGGATGCCCAAAGCTCGAGTCGAAGGCACCACATGTCACCTGTCGGACCAGCCCCGTTGTTTTATCGGTCGTGGCGTCGTGAAATGCCCAGGTGAAATTGTGAAGCCGTGGTGAAACGTGGCCATGGCTCTCCTCCAACTAGCCATCTTCCATCTGCTCAGGCAAAAACCGAGAGAACATAAAGGACATCGGACATAGGTCGGACATAGGACAAAGAAAAATTGTGTTCAGACCTGGTGTGGCTGTGTCTTACTTGTGTGTTACTTGTGTGTGTGTGTGTGTGCATGTGCACGATCCGATGATTCTCTGCCAGGCTTACCTACCAATTTGAAGGTGACCTCCTTTCAAGGCATCAACAAATTGCGTTGCTAGTGGATCCACAAGGTAAAAGTCATGTTTTGATGTCTTAGCCTGTTTCGACCCGTTTCCATCGCCCAACCCTGCCAGGGGCGCAACACTGGTGACAGAAGTTTGTTGCCCAGAAAGGAGCTTTTTACTGGAAACAAACAAGACATTGTTTGTGCTTTTTGGCAAGAATCAGCTAGTATATTTTAATTGTGATTTGTCTTGATGGGCTGGTATACTTTGTTTGATAACATGTTGAACATGCTACTATTTTGATCCATTTTGTCGATGTCCAAGTGGGCTATGTCTGAAGGGATCTGCGCCAGCGCGGCGTGCAGCAAGTGCTGTCAGAACCTTGGACAATCTGACAATCGACACACGTGGACCCTGTTTCGCGATGATTCTATCAAATTCTATTTATCATTCCATCATTCACAGAATGATAGTATTTTATCATCAATGTAATGATTCCATCATTCTATGATATGTATTGATATGTATGATTCTTCACATTGTTTCACTGTCTCGATGTCACAGCGGCTGTGGTGAGGTCGATGCAGCTTCTGTCGTGGCCCAGGCACGGCAATGTGTGACTTCACACCAAAAACATGTTAACAGTTTTTACCGAGTTTTTGTCGGGTTTTTAAAGTGAACTTGACTCTTTGACTCTTTGACTCTTTGTTTTTTGCTTGCAGCAGCATGGCATCAGCATCTTTGCTGACTGTTTTTGCAGTGTTTCAGGCGCCTCCCAATGTGGAGCCTCCTTGGCGAAACGATCGCGCCCTCGTGCGCAGGGATTCCTTGAACATTCGCTGGACAATTCCACACTCGGAGCCACCCGTGCTCTATGTGGAGTTGGAGCACGACGGAGGATTTGGGGGAAACTTCACAACAACTTTGGCGATCAGGCGATGGGATGCAATGGGTATGGGTACCCATGGTACCCGTAATGCAAAATTGTGATTTTTGAATGTTTTTCACAGCATATTCAGCGAAGGATGCAGAAGGTGCGGGCAGTGCATCGCTGTGATATGTTCCATTCCACACACCTGCAGTTTCTGTTGATGGCTTGAAGATGTTTGAACTATTTCACAACTGATCTAGTAATGCCTGCAATGCCTGCTGCATCTGTTGGAGGTCGGAGTACACCAGATATCAACTGAACGGCTTGGAGCCAGGGAGCACCATTCGCTTCCGTCTCCGTGCCTTCAACGAAGTTGGTTCGTCGTCATGGAGTCCCGAGGCATCGTTCATGGCCCTCGCAGTTCCAAGTGCACCAGAGAATCTGCATGCAAAATTTCATCCTATGGCTATTCGACCCGAAATTTGTTGGACTCCCCCGAGTGATGTTGGAGGCGGTGGACAAGATACCGTTATGATCATGAATTATCGTGTTTGGATGCATCTCTCAGATGGTCAAGTCAAACTATTGGCTGAAGTCCCAGGAGATCGTTCCTGTTTCGAAGTGGATCTTCCACAAATCTTCAGTAACGAGTTTCGTTTCTCCGTGAATGCTGTCAACCAGGTGTACGAGGGACAGCGAAGTAACATCCTGGAATTGTCACGCGCCGGACCTCCAGGACAACCTGGTCAGATTGAAGTCGACAACGTCACAGGCAGCAGCATCTTCCTGAGTTGGTCTCCACCATCAACACGAACTGTTGAGTGCAACGAAGCCTTGAGTGTTTGTGGTGACATTCAGGCACAATTTGCACATGCACCGGCAGCCACAGGCTATGAACTCTACTGGGACGAAGGGAAAGGTTCACTGCCATCGATCTTAGTCTATGCTGGAGCAGCGCCTGTTGCAGAAATTTCTGTGACATCGTCCCGTGGCTGCTACCAGTTCCGAGTGCGAGCTACAAATTCAGCAGGGGAAAGCTATTTCACCGACATCCAATCCGTGTCGAACTTGCCGCTTGCATCACCAACTGGTTTGAAAGTTGAATCGATTCGCTGGGGGGCAGTGACTCTCTCTTGGGATGAAATTCCACCATCTGCATGTGTTTGGTGGTACGAGCTACAGATGTTGAACGTTGCTTATGGCAACATATCTGTGGTTAAAAGCGGTCTCCCGCAGATCGATGTGGAGGACTTGAACAGTTTGCATCTGTATCAGTTTTCAGTTCGACTTTGCGATGCCGCATCATGCAGTAGTTTCTCAAATGTGGTGACGGTGGTCCCCACCCGGGAACCCTTTGGCCCCACAGCGCCGTATGCATTGCACTATGAGAATGGCCTTGTGACCGTGACGTGGTCGGCGTGGTCAGCGTGGTCGGCCTTTGGTCAGCCAGAGACGCTGGAGCCCTTCATCGGAAGCTTTCAAGTTTTCGCTGCTAGCTTCGAGCAAGGACCATATTCCTGGGTGGGATCTGTTTCAGCCAATGTGGAACCGATCTTCGTTTTCCCTTGTAACGAGACCAATTCCACCAATGACCTCTGGCCATCTGCGATTTTTGTGAAAGTGGTCGCCACCGTTTCGAGCACCTGGAGTTCGGAATCTACTTCAGCTGAATCTGAAGCTGCTCGAATCTTCTGTGCACCTTTGCCAATCGCGCCTCCCGTGCCAACAACAAGTCTCCTTCGTACGGGGACTCAACGAGAGGTGCCGAGTCTCTTTGACCTCACCGTGGAACTGTCGCTCACAGGGCAACCAGCCGAGATAGCAGCTGTACATACTGGTTGGAAGGTAGAACTCGTCACAAAGACGGACAACACACTACTGGAAAGTGTTCACCTTACCGATCCAGGCGTGCAATCATATACTTTCACAGACTTGCCTCCTGCCATTGACGTCACCGTGCGCTATGCTGTTGTGGCTTTCTCTGGCACTGGGCCGTTGTCTCCGTTGAAGTTGCTCCGAGTGAACTCGGTCCCTCCACAGCCAGTGATGCAGGTGGATTCCAGTGACGATGAAAGCGTTGGCGTGTCATGGACTTGGGAACCAGGCATTGACGATGATGAACTTCTGAATTATAATCTCTATGTGGATTGGCAGGATGGTCATTTCAGCAATACCAATCTTCAGCAACCCACATATAGCACCAGAAGCCCAAATTATTTGGTGAATTGTACAGATGGTACTTTGGGGGGTATGTCTCGTTCACGTCAGCGGTTGTGGTTCCGGGTGGCTGCAGTAAGTCCTGCTGGAATTGGCGAACTTTCAGAGTCACTTTTCTGGGTTTGTGGATCAGTGCCAGATCAACCAATCGCACCGACATTGGAAGAAGTTGACAGTTCCTTTGCAATGCTTGGATGGACTCAGCCAGATCTTCATGGTGCTGCTTTGCAAAGCGTAAAAGTGGTTGCTTCAACAGCGCTGGGGCCCAACTTCTTTGGGTTTGCCAACTCCGAATATCTCTACACGTCTCCTGGATCTTTGCTCAATGTGACTGCCAACCTCTCTCAGCCCTTGCAATTTGCCATACAAGTGACGTCAGATGTCGGGCAAAGTCCACTGTCACCGTGGCTCAGTTTCTCAAAACTGGCATTGCCTCCTTTGCCTCCAAGGCTGAGCATTCAAAGTTCCACGGATTCCCAAATCATCGTGGAATGGTCTCTTGACAGAACCAAAGAGCGAGGTGCTTACCACACAGGATTCTATTTCTATGTTTCTGTGGATGGAACAACATGGCCCGATGAAGACACGGGTTATGTGGCAACGTGGCAAGATGAATTCACCACGACCTACACCATGGATTGCACATTGACTGCACTTCTTGGAGGCCGGAGCAATGTTGGGAGCGAGGCGGAGTCCAGGAATCTGGTGAAATTTGTTTCCTTTTAGACCAAGGTGAAGGGACTTACCGTACTATGATTTGTTGGTACAAACAAACGAAAAACACCAAGGGGGTTAGGGACAAGGATGTAAATTGATTTAGATTCATGTAAGGTCAGGGCTTTGACACGCTTCATGTCTTCCACCGATTGAACTTTGTTGGTTTTGAGATGTTTTGAGTTTCAAATCCACCCAAGGTAAACTACAGTACTGTGTATTGATTGCTCATAAGATGAAACAAAGTTTGGTCACATGCCACGGTTGCACGATGTTGCACGGCTTGGCTGTTTGCGCCACTCTGCAGGTCAGAGCCGATCCCAGCAATTCCTTTGGTTCAAAGTCGCTGCGCGAAGTGCCGTTGGACGCGGTCCGTTGTCCATCGCAGTTGCACGACGTTGCTCAGCACCACCCACTGCTCCAGTGAATTTGGCTTTAGATTCATCGGTCTTTGATGCCGATGGAATCGGCTATACCTTGCTGACCTGGGAAGAGCCGACTCAGCTAAGTGGAGCAGTTCTCTTGGGCTACAAAGTCTATGTGGATACAAATACTGCAGACACCCAAGACTTGTACACTTTACTGGATGTCATTGAGGATCCAGAACAACGTGCCTTTCGACATGAAAACGTTGTACAAGGCCAATCCTACAAATACAAGGTCACAGCAGTGTCAGAGACAGGAGAGGGAACTTCAAACGAAGTAATTCTTGTGCCTGCCTTGGTACCACTGGAACCTGCACAGCCAGTTTTGCTGGATGACTGTACAACATCTTGGTACACCAGCAAGGCGCTGTGTACATATCCACACAACTACGAACTGGCAACGGTTAGTGTTGATATCAGAGAGAGTGCCGGTATCAATGCCCCAAGGGTGAACCCATTTGTCACAGTGCTCCAAGGAACAATTTTGGAGGTGACCCAAGAAGAGCTTGGTACAGATGGACGGCTCTATTTGAATATCCCTACTTTGGGCGGCTGGCTCTGGGATGATACGCCCCTGGATCCAAGCAATCCATTGTCAAATCGCCTTCCTGCCTTGAAGTTCTCTTGGACATGGCAGGACGATGAAGTCAGGGCTTTGGGCGGGATGCCATTGACGGCTTGGTATGTTTACAGGTCTTCAGATGGAGTTGTGTGGGACACTTACACCTCCTTGGCCTCGACTGCTCGTGATACCTCCTTCGAGTGCGCTGTTGCTGAAGTTGGACTGCCCTTTTGGGTCCGAGTTTCTGCGGTAAATTCCATTGGTGAAGGCCCAAAATCTGAGCCGTTGAAGCTCCGCTGCTCTTTGCCACCGGGGATGCAACCAGCTCCAACTCAGCTTGAAGGAGATCTCAACAGCATTATCGTCGGCTTCAACCCGCAGAATTTGCATGGTGCAGAGTTGCTCTATCACCGATTGACCTATGCTTTTGTTGATGACATTGAAGGTATTCTAAATCCAATTCAGCTGGATGTGCCGGGCTCAGAAACGTTTGTGAACATTACGAACCTCTTGCCCTTCTCCACATACGTTTTCAAAGTTCAAGCCATGACAGAATCAGGAATGTCTTTGGATCCATACTGGCAAAGCAACATGACAACAGGAAGTGCAATTTTGCTTGACCCTCCTAGCTATTTGTCTTCAGATGGTTCAACACTTCGTTTCACTCTTGCCAACCTCACTGGAGTTCGAGACTGGCCGGACGATGAAGTGCCTTCTTACAATTTGTACATCACTGCAGACGATCGCGAGTGGCCCACTGAGCCAACCTTCGTCACGAGCAGTTTGGTCTTTGATCATGATTGTACTCAGACTCCGGATCATACCCAGTTGGATGGAAATGGAGATGCCATTATTGTGGACCAAAGCTACAACTTTGTTTATGTGAAGGTTTCATTGAGTACGGCCACTGGCCCTGGATTTCTGTCGAATGCATCCACCTTTTTTTGTTCTCCTCCTCCATCTCAGCCAGTGCTGGAAGTCTACAGCTCAGATCCTGACCAGATCACACTGAAATGGCCAAACCCGGACCTTTTCAATGCGCCCCTTGTTGGATATAATGTCTTTTTGGACGATGGTTTGGGTGGGGATATCAATTTGAACAAGTACGTAGCTGCAGATGATGTCGCTTACGATGAGACCAATGCATCAGTGATGATGTCCATTTCCCCTGTCATCACAGGAAGGTGGTACAGGGCCATGGTCACGGTCTTGTCAGAAGCTGGAGAATCATCCAGTACCCAAATTGTCAACGCTCAGACTTGCGAGGCACCACCCAATCCCGTCATTGCTCGCTTGTCTTCATCCACATCACTTGTTTTGCAGTGGAATGTGAGCGCAGGATCTGAAGTTTGCTCCCCTCAGAGCTATGCTGTGATCTCTGAAATCATCAACTACACCGGTGAGGTGAACCAAAGTTTGGTGCTGTTGACATCAGACACCATTGCACCGAATCAGTTGGAGCATCAGTTGGATAACTTAGTCTCAGAAGCAGAATATCGTTTCCGTGTGCGATCCTTTGTACCTGGTGGTGCTCGAGAAAGTGGTTGGACCTTAGGATTTGCTGCAGGCCTGCCTGCTAAGATGGATCCGGTGCGACATGTTCTGAACGCATCCTTTGCAACATCGATCTATTTGGAATGGACGGTGCCAGATATGAACGTAGGAAGTCCTGTTGGCTTTCAGCTCTTCCGAAATGATGGCCCTGGCACCGGGATGCAAAGCCAAGCAGAGGATTGCATTGCAGCAGATTGCACTCAAGATCCTTCGTGCAGTCTGCAGCCAATATCTCGAATTCCTGATGCTACGGGATGTTTCATCCCGGGGCTCACTGAAGACACTGTCTATCGCTTCTGGATACGTGCAGTGAATGAATACGGTGCAGGACCAGAAAGCACGAAAACATTTTAAAAAAACGTATGACACGGTAAGGATATGTTGGAGCCATGTCCTGTGTTGTCAAATTGATAAATATTGATATAGCAGAATGCAGTATGATGCAGTATGTATAGCATCGATTTTCTTTATGGATTTATTCCTTGTGTTTCCCTCAATCTTGGCCTTCCTGAGAGGACCTTTGAGTGAAGTTGCTGAAATCTCTGTGGGTGCCTTGCCGTTGGTGACAGCTCCCACGCTCGTATCCGCTCTGTATGAGAATTGCACCATGACGTGGGAGTGGTCCCCTGCCATCGAACGTGGCAAACTGGTGCACAGCTATGACCTCAAAGTGGAAAGAATGAATACTTCGGCAGAGTTGCTGATCCCATTCGATGGCAATTCATCTGCACCTTATCGAGTATCAGTGGCTACGGTAAGTTCTGACACATGGACGGAGGCTGTTCCAGGAGAGGGTCGGATAATTAGGTTTGGAAGTCCTTGGGATTTGGAGCCGTTGCTGCTGTAGATGCTGTTGCATATCGAGATATCTCGAAATATATCGACTAAGCGTATCCAGCTGTAAGATGAGGCACACGAGAACGTCGAAACGTCGGAATGGGGTGGCCGGGTGACTGTCCGCCAGGAGAAACATACCGTGCAGCTGTGCGAGCTCGAAGTGATGTGGCGACGTCGGAGTGGTCTGCATGGTCTGCCAGCAGCTTTTGCATCTCAGAACCACAGGCAGACTGGGCACATGTGTTGTGCACATGTGCTGAGCACATGTGCTGAGTATTGTTGGGTGTTGATATTGGAATATATTTTGCAAAGTAGCGTTACCAGTGTTGATATTGCAATATCTCTCGCAACATTTTGTCTCTTCCAAGTTGTGAAGTTGCATCCAGGTGCCGAATCCTCCACGCCGAGATTCCGTGGAAGTGAAAGCAGGGCGTGTCCAGCTGATTTGGGATGTGGTGACCTCTGAGATGGCTGGGAACGACGACCTGGACGCATTGGGAGTGGAGTACGACATCTGGGGAAAACCGTATCCTTTGAGCCTCGAAACCCAGTGGCGCAGGCTCTACCAACTCCCTGCCTACGAGGCCAAGAAATGCATTGGATGTACATGAAATTCATGAGTTATCATGAGTTCAGAGTGAATGATCGTGAATATAGGGTGAACGCATCAGAAGAGCAAGGTCTATGACAGGGAAGCACATGGTCAAACATGAAAACACAGAACACAAAAACCTACGGTTGCATGCTGTTCTTAGACACTCAGCATCGTACAGCTGAAAAAACATGCAGACCATACGTTCTAGGAGCAAAACATCAAAGTCTCCCTCCAAACATGCCAACTGCAGAAAGCTGGTATTTTGGATGACAGCAAAATGCTTGTCAGTTGCAACTGTAATGTGACCATTTTGATGTTCTTCATTGCCTTCATGCCATGCATGTTTAGTCCTTTAGTCCGATTTAAAATTGCTTTTGACAAGAATGCTGACCTGCAGTCCTTAGTAGCGCCAGAACGAGTATCAAATCTGTCAACCTGAAAGAGGAATTCTTCCTTGCCATGAGCCGCAAGTAGCCCAAGAAGAGCTAGAAGTGTCAACTCAACCTCGCAATGTCAACTGAGAGCAAGAATGCTACGATGCCCAAAAATGCAAGTTCTGTGCATCACAAGTTTTTTGCACCAGATAAAAAAACCTACGACGCAGCAAGACAAAGTGGGTCCCACAACGCAGCAAACACTCCTCAAAGGTCGCCTCTCCAGGCATTGCTGTCGCCTTACGATTTTTATGCCATGCGCTTTGTCTCAATCCGGTAGCAAAGACACGAAAGTCATCGAAAGTCTATATCGATGTGATGGCTTTGCTTCTGCACACTTTCAGTAATCCTCGTTTTTTGCCGTTTTTTGCTTGTATCATCCTGTCTCTATTCAGAAGCGGTACTTACAGATTTACGCAATTTAGATTTTACTTTCAACCATATATGTATACCTTGCTTCGCTACAAAGCGAAAAACTTAGTTTTTACTTGTTCAGCTGATCGAGAATGGTTCCTGCCATTTTCAGCACTTTGCTGTGGACCAAAATGTATTCAATGCCTTCGAAAAGGGGTTGAAAAACGCGTAGCTTGCAGGTTCATTTACGGTTATCACCGTTAATGATGCTCGTACGATAACAAAGATACCAAAAACACCACTTTATGTCAACCCATCTTCATCATGCGCGGCCACCATTATGCCCTGATTTTCCATGTGAATCTGCGCGCACAAGATGCTCGATTTGCGTTTAAATTCAGCCGATAACAAAGGGCGAAGTGACTGACGTGGCAAACAGCGTGAAATCAAGAGAAACGAAAAGAAGATTAAAAAAAAAAAGATGAAAGGGGTGTGGAAAACCGGCACGGTGAGACAGCAATATACAGATTCTCGAACGACAAAGAGCCAACTGAGCGAACAAAGAAAGACACGCAAAGAAACAAACTTGCCATATGCATGTGCATGTGTATATACATCCTCCTACATATTCACATGCTGACAATACAAAGCTAACAAGACAAAGCTGACACAAACATGCGTGATCACCGTTTGTAGTTTCATGGATTGCCATGTGTCAATATCAACGTTTCGATTTTTGAAAGGGACAAACGTACAAAAGAGTGTCCGCAGTGATCTTTTCCTAACAAAGTTGTTCTAAATTCTTGAAGTAATTTTGGCCCATGGGTAGTGCCAATATGGTGTCGTTTCATGTTCTTCTCCACCTCCATAGACAGCCCATGGCTGGCGTTCTGCTCGTAGTCTGCCGTTTCCCAAGTCTCATGCATCTTCTCTCCTTGCACAAGGTCAGCATAATCCAAGGAACCCTAGCAATTCTTGGCGCGACGGGTGAATCTTAAACATATCTTGGGCAAATTTGGTGTCGTATGTTTTTTAGATTTGTTTAAGATGTCTATATATTTTTTTATACATGTGCATATCATCTATTTGTTTGTTTGTTTCCTAAGTGAAAACTCGGGGAGTCTTGGTTAAATTATGTAATATATACACATGTATATATGTGCATGACTTTGACTTTTGTGCTGGGTTTGTGCATCTCCTAAACTTTTTGGTGCCGCTGGGCCCCTCAGCTTGGTTGACCCTGGAGAACTTACAAAGATAATGTATCAATGAATCTTCCAGGATTAAAGGTTACACCAAGGGTGGCCTCCTCACAAAAGGCGCTTTTTTTCGAGGTAATGACATGTTCATGATGTGTGTTTCCCCCGAGTTTTCCCACATGGAACTCGAAATTGTCCCGCATGGAAACTTGCCAGTGCGTGCACACACGGGATATCAACATCGAAAAGTGGAAACAAAGCAAGTCGTCGTACAGTAAAAAATTGACATGAAGAAAACCAAGTACACACAGAGATAAAACGACAATACGAAACGGGTAAATATCCAACGGCAACCTCAGAACAGCTGAGATCGAAGAAACATATGAATGCTGTTTGGTACTCGTACTATATCCGTGGCATACGCTGATACGCGTGGTATAGGCCGATTTTTTCTCAGTGTACACGCGGTAATGCGTGGTATACATATGGTGCACGCTGGTACACGCGCCCCCCGCTCCCATGTAATTAAATCTGTGCCTTTGTTGAGAACGTCGAGGATTTGTTTTTTATTTCCATGCCTCGCTTCTATCAATCTTCTCAGTTGTTGCGACAAAATTGAGTTTTGTAGTTCAGATAAAAGATTTTTGAAGATGCCCTGCAATTGGTTTATTGCTGTGGAAATCAGTTTTGGGTTCTCTTCTTCGAGACTGCCTTCTCCTTCTCATTTCTGCAGGTGCAGAGACCTCTGTCTCTGCGCATGAACTGGCATGAACTGGCCAAAGCTTCAACTCATTTTTTGATGTCACTTTTGAGGAAATAGTTTCATACCTGTGTTGCTTGAGAAGATTTTTAGATTTACTTCTGGTAAGTATGACATGGTTTGCTAGAAAATATCAGATTTCATGAAAGGTGCCACAACACGCCTTATGACACATATCAATTTGGTTCTAACATGTTCCAACACAGTTCAACCGTTTCTCGACAAAAAGATGTCATAAGAATGTCATAATGATGACAGCTATGTCACTGGGGGGCGCCCCCTTTGGGTCTCCTGTCACGTGGCTTGGCCCCAACCCCTCCTGCCTGGTGGGTTCGGATGTGAAAATAGTGAATCATCTCTTGAAATGTCTCCATCATTGTGTACACATTGTTCATGTAGCTTTACATTATTATACATTTTTTGTGTGTCTCCGATGCATTTAGCATGCAAAGAAATGCAGAAGAAAATCAAATGAAGTGAAAAAGGAATGCATGAGAAAAAGCAACAGAAATGCATTAGCAAAAGAAATGCGGAAGGAACGCATACAAAATGAATAGGACATGCACAGGGGATGCATACGAAGCGCAGAAAAAATGCATAGGAAATCTAAACAAAATGCACGGAAATGCAAAAGACATGCAAGGGACATGCACATGAACTGCAAAGCTGAAGCAATGAACACGCAGCAGATGAATTGCTCAGCTCAAGAAGTCACACAAGCACTGCTCAGGTAACGCGCGTGGTGCACATGTCACACAAGCATGGTATAGCATGATGTAAGATTTTCTTGCCTAGGTAATTTATGTAAGTCAAGGTAAGTCGCATGCTGTGTCGAATGCTCGAGGCTGGAGCACAGGCTCTGAGTCCATCAGTGGCAATGGACACCTTCCCCGAGACTCCTGTGACGGCCACGTGGGGTTTCAAGCTTCGAATCGCCAATCGAAACGGCTACGGCAACTTCTCTCAGGACTTGGATCTGGGGTCGGCACTGCAGTGAGTGATGTCTGATTTGTTTGAGAAAAAAGAGAGTCTAATAGAGACACATCATATGTAGGGCGTGTCAATGCCCTGTGACATGCATGAGATATCATGAGATATCATGAGACATCTAAAGCTTGTACGTGCCAAGGCAATCCAAGGCAAGCTCATGTCAGAATCTATCGGGATCGGGGCTGCCAAGTCCACGATTCCGATCTGATTCATATCGATTCTGATCCAACTCCGCTCCGGCCGAAGTACATAAACTCTGATCTGAAGACCCCGATCCAGCCTTCACCTTCACCAGAAATGTATTTTTCATCCATGTTTCGTTTTTGTCTTTCGAAACTATTCAAACATGCCTGATGAATACGGTCCCGTGATGCTTGGCATGGGGCGGGCCAGGAGCTGCATTTGAGCACTGGGCAGTTGGCATCAGCCCCTCTGCAGCTGGCAGCTTCAGTGGCTGGCAATGGACAAATCGTTCTGACATGGCTGGCACCCATCTCAGATGGCTACATTCCTCTCACAGGCTATCAGGCCCGTTGTGGTTCTGGACCATGGGAAGACGTTGCCAATACCAAGTTCACCCACGAAATGTTGTTCAGCCCACCAGCAGGGCTTGTCACGTGCGAAGTGCGCGCCCTCAACGCAGTGGGCGAGGGCGCAGTGGCACAGACCACCTTGACATTGCTCTAAATGCAGAGACATTCTGAGAGACTCGGAGAGACTCTTTGAACGAATCATACAAATCTGCATTTTTCTATCAGTTTCGGACTATGAATCAACCATGGTAAAGACTCTTACGAAAGTACCTCAACCAATCAGAATATATACATTATCCAGCATGTATTCTATACATATATATATACATATATGTATGACAGAGGTATTTGTATATATGTATACACGTTTGTTTCTATGGCGTTGATGCCATTCTGTAGGCTACAAACTTGTAGCTGGCTTGGATGGTGTCAACGGTTTCACTTCAAGACTCGGCCTCGCAGGCACGTGCAGCAGTTTGCTTTCACGATGATCGGGAAAGATATCAATAAAAATTCCAAAACATCGGAAAAACAATCAGAAAAAGATCAAGCAACAAAAAAGAAGAATATAAAGAATGCAAAAACTGTGCACCTGGAGTCCATGTACATAGGTCAAAGCAGCACCAAAGGTGAAAAGAAAGTGATGCCTATCACTGCATTTGCGACAGCACAATTCAGAGTTGGTAATGTCATGCATTGCAGCAATTCCATTAACATCTCAAGGACGGATACAACAGGGAAACTACCTGCCTTTCACTCGTTTTTTGCTACTTCTTTCAGACTCGTTATTGGGTCAACATTGGGACAGCTAGCAATGTACTGATCGTCCAGGCCACTCCGCAGCCGTAGTTTGGTAGAGAGAACAGTCAACAAAAGTCGTTCCAAGTTCAAAGTCATGCCAGTCACACAGCTTCAAACTGCTGCTTCAAAGCTGAATCCTTTTCGGATGGTCCACTCGTCCAGAGAACAAGCCAGTGCATAGTCTTAGAAATGCATTCGAAGGCAACGATTTCAATGATTTGAGTAAATTTAAGTTACTTTGTGAAGAAGCATCGTGGGCCCCTTGGGGTTGCCTTTCACATTTTTGCAGCCCATGCCCTAGCACAAGACATGCCCATACCTTCGGCGCTCACTTCGACTCTTGATACAAATTGGGTCGGGCGGGTTGCTTTGGGTGTACACCGTAGACCGCCGTAGTGTTGTAGAGGCACGAATCATTCGGAATTTGCTTTGAGGATATCCATGTTCATTGCCGGAGATGCACATGAAATGGATCAGTTTCAGATTAATTCAGATTATATTTTTATATTATTGATAATTTTTGCACCGTTTGAGGTCTGGCTGCAAGACACTACCTCTGCTAATGGATTTTGGTAAGCTTTAGCAGCAAGTGCAGCCCCTAAAAGTTCCCAAACATACCCCGGGCTGGGTATCTCAGAGAACCTTTGGGCCCTGAAGTTTGGTGCAAGTTTGACCCCTAGCAACGTGCCGAGGTGTCTTGCAGATTTGTCAAAACACATTGGCTCTCTGCAAGAGGAAATTGATTCGCTGAGAGCAGACAAGAATGAGCTTGTCAAGCAGCAGGCTCAACAAGCTGTCGCGGAACGACATGGATATATTGCAGCTTCGCCCGCATCAGATCCAAAACAGCGCATGAGTTGATGCGATCCTTGCAAAGCAAATGTTTGAAAATCAGATGTTGACATGTGAATCATGGATCATCATGGTACATTTTGTGAGTGAGGTTACCCCTTGCAGAATAATAGCGATGCATATCGGGGCACGGAACACATTCGGCTCCCTAGGCTCTGAATAAAGTGGAGCAGCTCGAAGTGGAGAACGACCATCTGAGTCGTCAGATCAACGAGCTCAAAGCGCAACTCTACATGTCCAGTGCCTTGGAGGTGGCCGAGCCAAAGAAATCGAAAAGTTTGGGAGCTCGATACTTGGCATATCTCGGCATATCTTGGCATATGGTGCAAGAAGTTCTGGTATCCTATCTGTGATAGCCTTCCAAATTGGTTTGCTAATTTTGAGAGCTTTACATTCCGGAACTGTGTTATTTTGTGGCAATTCTGTGTTGAGATTTTGGGTGAAATTCTGTGTGGCAGGAACCCATTGACCTGGCAGTTGCGTCAAGTTATTCTGCAGTGCCACCGACAGCTCAGGAGTTGCATGGCCTCAGCCAGAGGAGGATCCGCCCAAATCACAGGCCTAACATTGGCCAGTCATGTCATTTAGCTGTCGCTATTAGATACATATTAGATACATATTAGATGCTATTAGTGTCAGAGTTGAACCAGGGGTTTAGGCATTTTAGATGGTTCAGGAGAGGTGAGTCCAGGTTTTAAGAGGTTGACTTTAGGTTGGTTCCAGTTCGTAAAGGCCCTATTGGCCACCAGTCTGGCTGCACTTGATTGTTTGGAAGGCACAAGAGGGAAAAAACGAAAAATTCAATAATTGCAACGAAATCAGATGGCTAGCGGCATTAAGATGGAAAACGAATTCACAGCGGAAGAACTGCGCAGATGTCAAAGTCTGGCCGTTTTGAGGCTTCGATCGCGAAGAAAGTGAATTTCGATCAGGCAGATCTTCTGTGCCCAACCAGATTTCAAGCTGTGAAATGATGCGAGCCCGCGAACCCGAGACCATCAAAAACCCTGATTGTATTGATTTACCATTTTTGAACAGCATCGTTTGACACACTTTGACATAACCGAACATAGAAACTGATGACAAGCTTAACTCCGCATTTGTTCACTCCTTTCATGGAAACATTTCGTCGAACTTCGATCGTCAAAGTGTGCAGGTGGTGCCAAGACCTGAATTCACAGACGAGAGGCGCAGCACTGCACATCGTGCCCATTTTTGTCACTGACCCCACAGGGCCCCACAGGGCCCCACAGGGCCCCACAAGTCACTGTCACAGGCCGCCCTCAGCGGATCCAATCGCTATAGACAGCGACACTTGTCACCTGGCCTTGAAGTCGCGTCGCCTCGGGATCTCTGCTCATTCTCTGCTCATTCTCTGCTCATTCTGCTCTGTCCTTTTTTGCAATCCTTTGTCCTTTTTTGTCCTTTCGCTTTGAAAATCACGAAAGGTAGCGTCAGCTACCTGAGTTCTCCGTGCTTCAGCACAAGCTTAGGGCGTATTGGGGGGCCAGCCCGTGGAATTCATGGTGCAAAAGGGTTGATGTGCATGCATGTACAATAGGGTAGGTGTAGGATCTGGTCTTATCACTGCTTGACAGGTGAAGTATCTGTTCTTATCAGTGTGACGACTGGAGGCTCTTTTAGGATCAAAAGTCGCGCTGCTCTGCCTAACACAGGTTATGAGCCCAACGCTCAGCTGAGGGGCGCCTGCCATGTCGTGGACTAGGTCGTGTTCGGTGCCACGTGGTGGAAGTGGACCTCGTGCTCTACGGCTGGATCAAGAAGGCCAAGAAGGGCATGGAAGAGACCGAGCTGGACATGACGGCAGAGACCTTCGGCGTGGAGATGAAAGAGCTCTACCCAATGGCAGTGATGGTCAAGGTGGAGGACGAGCTCTACTACGAGGCGAACATGGAGGGGCTCTACGGCAAGAACTGGACGTGAGCACTGACCTGTTGGACTTAGGCACCGAGCCGAATCCGTGGTGGTCAGAGGTGGTTCAACGAGAACACCTACAAGAAGCACGTCAGTTGGCCATGGAGCAGCCGATGTGGACGCCAAGGGAAGAGGTCTCAGTCAAGGAGGACCTTCCGGAGATAGAAGATGCAGACGCGTCGCGAGAGTTGGAGCCGCTGGCAATGGGACGAATGAGTGCTCCGTCGAGTTGGAGTACAAGACGAGGTGTGGCCTTGCAGACTCAAGGGGCTATGCCATCAAATGATGATGAAGACCTTCGGCATCCTCAAGATGTTGGACAAGGTCAACATGCTGTACAGATTCAAGGTGTAGACCTTCGACATCCTCAAGATGTTGGACAAGGTCGACATGCAGTACACCCTCAAGGTGTGGACCGACAGCATCCTCAAGATGCTGGACAAGGTCAAGACCTTCGGTATCCTCAAGATCCTGGACAAGGTCACCGTGCAGTACACCCTCAAGGCGTGGACCGACAGCATCCTCAAGATGCTGGACAAGGTCAAGACCTTCGGTATCCTCAAGATGCTGGACAAGGTCACCGTGAAGTGCACCCTCAAGGTGTGGGCCGACAGTATCCTCAAGATGCTGGACAAGGTCAACAAGCTGAACACCCTCAAGGTGTTGGACGTGATGGGCACCCTCAAGGTGTCGAGCAAGATGAACACCCTCAAGGTGTTGAACAAGTTGGGCACCATCGAGGTGTCGCAGCAGGGCTACTTGCTGGAGAAGTGCAACGTTCTGGCAAGGAGCATGGTCAAGGAAGAGTTGTGCAGCCCAATGGGATGGGAGGTGAGATACCATCTCATGGGGTTGCAAGACAAGGTGGGAAGACTGGAGGACTGGGAGGTGAGATACCAGTTCAAAGGTCTGACATCATGCAAGAGGCTGGACACCATCGAGGAGTCAGCCGTGGACCCTCAAGGTCTGAAGTTAATGTGCAAGAGGCTGGACACCATCGAGGAGTCAGCCGTCATGGACCCTCAAGGTCTGAAGGAAATGTGCAAGAGACTGGACGCCACCGAGGAGTCAGTCATGGTTATGGACCTGAACGACATCAAGTTCAAGGTCATCGAACAGTACCAAGTGGTCTGCGAGATCAATCTCAAAGACGAGGTCATCGGCAAGATGATGGATCACCCTTGGAAAGAGTTCCAATGGGAGTGCAACAGTATGAGATGAGACGACAGATGCCACGTGAGGCAAGTCGACAACCACAAGGTGGAGTACAAGGTTGTAGTACAAGAACCTTTGTGGACGATGTCAATCAACAAGGAAGAGATGAGCGTGATGAGCTCAAGCGGGCTTTGGAGCAATCAATGGTTGAAGAGCTTCACAGACAGAAGCTTGAGATGGAGAAACAAAAGGAAGAGATGAAGAAGTATGCTGAGGACTTGCAACGCCAGCGTGATGAGTTTGAAAAGAAGAATGAGGAGTTGCAGAAGGAGCTCAAGAAGAAGAGTTCAAGCGTGGAACCACCAAGGACACCACCGCGCCGACCTCAGTACTACTCGCTGTCACCAAGAACAACACCTGGAGGAACTCAAGTTCCGCCGGGACAACCACCACGGGAGGTAGCAGATCTTCCAGAACTTCCACCATGGCAGTTTGACCCATTTGCAGTTGATGAGCACGTGGGTGGTGGAACAGGTTTTGATGGTTTGGAGGATTTTTGGACTCCAGTGGATCAACAACCACAACAGCAGCATCATCTTCAACCTGGAGCAGATCGTTTTGCATGGTTGGACAGAGAGGTCAGGATGATGCATGGCGAAAGACCAAGGCTGACAGGTGAGTACTGGGAGCAACCGGTGCACAGACATGGTGGTCCACCAGCGGATTTTGGTTATGTTCCGCAACCACCACCACAACCGCCTCAAGGACATGGAGTTGGACCTTCTGGTGTACCAATGTATGCAGCACCAATGCAATATGGTTCAGTGCCACTGCAATGGCAACAACCTCAACCACAAGCAAAAAGTCCTGATGGTGAAGCTTCTGAGGTGTTGAGAAATGTGCCGATTACACTGCCAATTTTGAAGGACGTGTCAGAGCCTCAAGCTGCCCTTCGTGCAGGAGATTGGTTAAGTGAGTTGATGCCGCTGATCTCAGATGTCTCAGAGGGGGCAAGAGTGTGGTGGACTGGACTAGTACAACGAGCTCAAGATGCCTATGCAACATGGCTGACAGCGGGTCCAATGGATCGCATGGCTGTGCAACCTGACCTTCAAGTTGAGAACAAGTATGTCAGGTTGGAGTCTCGTGTGCTGTCAATGTTGTTAGCTGCAGTGCCACAGACGGTCAAACAAGAAGCAATCTCTTTGCGAGAGATGACATGCGTGCAGCTGGTGTTTCGCATCTTGAAGCTGTACCAACCTGGTGGTCTCAACGAGAAAAGCACCATCCTCAACAACTTGACCCAAACAACAGCAGCCAAATCTGCAGCTGAAGCTGGTGAGATGCTACGCCAATGGCGACGTCAACTCCTGCGAGCTCGTGAACTTGGGCTACAGGTTCCAGATCCCTTGCTGCAGGTGAGCGCACTTTCTGAAGTGATGCGGACAGTGATTGCGAAGGAGCATCAAGCGAGCTTTCGCATCAGCAACTTCCGCATGACCCATATGGTGGATGTGGCGCCTACACAGCTTACAGCGGAGAACTATTTGCAGATGTTGATTGCCGAAGCGGATCACTTGCATCATGGAACAATGACGAAGGCAAGTCCGACTTCTGGCAACCCCAAGATCAATGTGGTCAATGCTGCTGGTGACAAGGGTGGTGGCAAGAAGGGATCTCCTGGTAAGAAAGGCTATGTTGCAGAAGGCAGTGGTTATGGTGCAGGAGCTGGAGCATGCAGGCATTGGGGTAAACCTCAAGGATGCCTCAAGGGTGACAGATGCACCTATGCCCATGAGTGGAACAATCTCAACGACAAGGAGAAGAGATGTTGGAAGTGTTCCAGTTTGGAACACATTGCAAAAGACTGCACGGCTGGTGACAAGCTTATGACAAGTCCAGGTGACAAAAGCTCCAAAGGAAGCCCCAAAGGCAAGGGAAAGACAAAGGATGGCAAGAACGACAAGGGCAAAGGCAAGGACCGGGACAAGCCGGTCGGGGGAGTGGATCAGTCTTCAAAGGATTCACAGCCTCAAGTTGCCCAGATACAACAGCAACCTCAAGTTGCTCAGATACAACAGCAACCTCAAGTTGCTCAGATACAACAGCAACCTCAAGTTGCTCAGGTACAACAGCAGCCTCAAGTTGCTCAAGTACAACAACAAGTTCAGCCCTCAGTCATGGGTGAAGTTGCCAGTCTTTTGAAGACAATGCGAACAACGTCAACGACTCCAAGGGTGTTGGCGGTGGTGACTGACAGCAATCAGGGTGTGCTATTGGACTCAGGGGCCACGCATATCCTTAGAGGACCCTATGATGAGACTGAGTGGATGCAGGCGATCCCAACAGAGGTACAAACAGCGACTGGAAAAACACAGCTGAGGATGTCAAAGATGAGCAGATCGTTGTTGACAAAGGATGATCTGCAGCCAATTGTGCCTTTGGGAATGTTGACTCAGCATGGATGCAAGATGAGGTGGCATCGCGATGGGTGCGCTCTCACACATGGCAAGCTGGGTGAAGTGAAAGTCACAGTTCGTGACAATTGTCCCTATGTGACCAATGATGTGGGGATGAAGCTCATTCGAGAGCTGGAAACTGCTGAGAAGAACAAGCAGTTGATGTTGCGAAGTTTGGAAGTCACAGGTTGGAAACAGGAAGACAAGGACATGGCCGACAAGCTCAAGAAGTTGTTTCCTGAAACACCTGTGGAGTTGTTGCAACCTATGGTGAGTAAGGCTGGTGATGAGGCTCGACTGCCATGGAATCGCCATCAACGGCGACGCTTCAAGAAGGCCAAGGGCATTGTGCTGAATTTGTTTTCAGGTCCAGATCAAGCGTGGTGGTCAAAAAGAATGCCACACGACATCGAAGTGGTGAAGGTGGATCTACTTCGAGGACAAGATCTTCTGGACCCAGCAGTTTGGCACTTTTTACTGCAGTTTGTGAGGTCGGGTCGAGTGGTTGCAGTACTTGCTGGCCCACCGTGCAGAACAGTATCAGCTGCACGTTACCGGTCTGATGGAGGACCGCGGCCTGTGAGATCGAGACATGGTTTGCAGAGGTTTGGCTTGGATACCAACACGATGATGGAGCAACA